CAATTAGAAAGCTGAAATAACTATAAAATGCCTTTGGATAGGATATGAGGATCAGCTATTATCAGACATACCTCTTAAATAACTCATCACATTTAACTTTTACGTTTCTCTTCACAAACCCAACTTTCGCTTCCATATAACAAAGTGGGCAAAAGCACACTCTATACACAGCCATTTTTCCATCTATCAAGATTCATTTCTTGCAAGAAACCACATATTGCCTATTTTTTTACTAGCATTTGAGCTTTACTATATCATAGAGTCTAATAATACATGCTGTAAATAATTTGGTTCCAAGCCAAAAATATTAGCATTCTCCCCTCCACACACACACACACACACACTCTATATATTCCTATGTCCTCAATCAGCAAAATCTAATGTTATTATAAACATTGAGTATGTATGTAATCATAAAAATATTAAACAACCAGGGAAATAACACTCATTTTTGTCTTATTCACTGTTGAGCACATTTGCTAGGCATTCAATGTAATCTCACATCAGTTACACCTCAAAATCATACTGCTTGTGTTGCATTCAGGAACTAACCTTCAGATATTCACTAAACATATCCATAACTCAATCCTATTTACTTTATCATATGCTTTCCACAATCAATAAATATATAATAGATTTCTTTCTCAAATTTATACATTTCTCAGAAATTTCCAAAGAACAAAATTCTGACCTGCACATATCTTGCCCAACTCACAGCTAAACACTTCCAACATTCTGCTTACTGACACCTTCGTAATAAGACTTTTCCCTGGCACAGCAAAAAAGCTAATTTATTTGCTATCTTGATCTTAATGTAATAGAACAATAACAATAATTCTTAAGAATTTATTGGGACAAAATATTAAAAATGCAACCTCTCCTCGTATTGCTTACCCTAAGCCAAGGTAACAAGTCTGCTATCGTAATGTACAGATCTAAACATATGATAAACAGTTGTTTCATAAGCAAAAACAGCCATATTTTAATAAGTTTTCAGTTATAGCTGCAGTCTTACCATTTTAGAACATTTGTACATGTTTTATGACTTCATTATTTTTCTCATGGATGCTAACATTTCTAGCATTGTCTTCAAACACGCTCTTCAATTCCACTAACATTTCTATGCAAATCCTGTATATATTCCTTCTGGCAACTTCTGACTTCATTTTCATCTCAGATAATTTGATACAGTAATGCTGCTGGAGGCTCCATATTTTTTTCTCATTTCCAAAACAAACTTTTATAGAACTTGTTGCATATTCCATCTGCGTCTTTTTTATTCTTTCTTGACTACATCCTCTACAACTATCTTCCATCTCTACATTCTAGATTTGTGCATCAATTATACTTTTATATGCATTTTTTAATTCACAGTCTCTTTCATTTGGTCATTCCACCAAGCATTATTTTTCATATTCCTCATTATCATTACTCCATATACTTTTATGTGGTACTCTGAAACACAATTCTGTCCACCAAAAGAAGGCAGTTTTATGCCTTCTTTCCTTCCGATAACTTTCCATTTTTTTCAGTTAGGAAACTAATCTATCTTTTAATAATTTTTCATAACAAAAATGCTATTTTCCTACATACCTATTTCTTTGTCAAAATCTGCTCTTGATACCATAATCTACCTTCAGAATCATGAATCATTGCTCTACCACTATTTCTCTTAGTCATGGTTTTCTATTCATTTCTTTTCTACATGTAAGCATCAATGGAATTATCTTAAATCATGTATTCAGAATAATATTTTTCTAAAGATTCATCAAACACTGACAAATTCATATTCATCCTTGCTTTGCCAAACCACTTAATTGCTTTTTATAACTCTCTCTGCTCATTCCTATTTATTCATGTTACTTAGCAAAGTAAGTTTCCCCAGATCACTCTTATACAGAATGTTATAGTTTTCGCCAAAATTCATTCTTCTGGTATGACAAATGGCAAGCAACTGTCACCAACCATTCCCACTTTCATATACACCCTTAAGAACAGAGATCAGTAATTCATTCATGGTTAAACCTATGTTTTCACTTTCCTGAATATATTCATCAACCTCATAAGATCAGACCATCTCCATTTAGCTCTGTTATACCCTTTTAGTTTCTCTAAGTTTCATAGAAATACCTTTTTCCTTCCTGTTCTAAGCATACTCACATTCTATAAGAGATAATATAACTATGTGAGTTCCATCAAGTGGAAATACACGCAACAACATATAGACATATAGCCAAGATATAGTTTAGCAAACAATACTAAACTATATCAATGTAATAGAAAGATACAACCAAATCATTACTGACTAGGTTACTGTCAACCTACAAAGGTTGAAACCAATATGACCAATCCTACCAGCACTAAGATCCATAAGAGATCTAATCCTAAAATTTTTTGAAAGGACCAGTGTTGCATAATTTGAACTTTTTACCAAGACAGGAGACAATATAAAATAATGTGCAACTTGCAATCACCCAAAACACAATCATGTAATATAGCTGTCCTTAAGTACTCTTAATAAAATTATTCCAAACCTGCAGTCTTAATTAGAAAATTCATTAAATATATCTGCAGCAATGCTTATTAAACCTGAATTACCTAATGAGCTGAAAACTATTTGATTTATAACCTATCGACTTAAAATTATGAACTGTCAAGTCAGTGTCTTGACAGTGTCTTATTGAGTACATAATGCTTCCTTCTATTTGTCCCCACATCAAATGAGGTGGGTTGGGATGAGATAGAGACACTCTCATTTTCTACAAAGTCACCAAGCTACCTTCCATGTCTAAAGAAAGGCTAGAATTAAGAGTCTCTGAAATTCAAAGAAATTAAATGTCTATTTTTAAGGGTTAGAACTATATCAAGTATTCGTGGTTTCACCATTTACAAGAAGGGAGTAAGATTCTTTATCCTGGGACATGTATATTCACCTGCATTCGTAAGGTTCTTTAATATCACCATCAAATTTTGTGATTTATCCAATCATGAATAGCTTCTACTGTATTATATGTTTCTATGTGTGCCTTTGACTTCTGGCAAGTACCTGGAGAAGTCCCTGAAGTTTTCTTGGGAAGATTTTGGAAGTGGTATGCCACTGCCTGCTTTCCAGAACTGAGGAAGAGTGACCGGCCCAATCTAGTTGGCTTTGTGCCGAAGGCAGGACAAGAACTCAGTCTCCTTGTATTACCCTAAATACAGATTTATCCTTAACTTATCTGGGTGAAAATGAGCAAGCGGCTCTTTGAATATCATCATACTGTAGGAGAAAGAGCTAGAGACTATCAAAGCTGTCAGTGGTACTTTATTCCTTGTCAAAGATCTATAACCTACAGTCTACTTACAATAGATGCTCATTCCCACAGAAAAAGAAAAGTGGTAAGTCCACAGAGTAAAACACTAACTCGGTTTAAATACTTTGATTTAAACTGTCATGTTAATCCATCAAGATTTCACCCTCACAAAAGTCCTACCAACTTTTTAAGACAAACCCTCTAAAACTTCTAACCTTGTTACAAAAAGTCCATGAAACATTTCAGTTGGAAACAAAATAAAAATAAAACAGAGAAGAGTGTTTAAAAAAGATAGTGTTAAAGAGAAATACAGTACTAGGTTGTATATCCCCTTTTTCATCTTGTCATCTTTCCTACTGTCTTCTCCTACTGCTTTCTTATGATTTATCTGTTGTTGTTTGTAACTTATGATTAATGATTGTAACTATGATTATGACCTATGGCCTATTACTTGTTGCTTATATGTACACTGTGAGCTTATGAACCGGAGACAAATACCCTGCGTGTCCTATCACACTTCACCAACAAACTATTCTTATTCTTATTCTATTCTCTATTCTATTCTATCCTATTCCATTTCTTTCTATTCCTATTCCAATCCTATCCTATTCTGAGCATGGAAACTTAAAACTTTTAAGTAAAAAGATGTAGTGCTTTATTATTATTATTATTATTATTATTATTATTATTATTATTATTATT